AAAAAATACTGAAATACCCTTCTATCAAGACGTGCTGGGGCTCGTTCTTTTTGTTCTCCCGTGGGAGGTGTTCGTGCCGCTTGCTGCTGCTGCTTTTCTGCTGCTGCTGCTGAATTATAAACTGCAGCAGAAGGTTTTGGGTGTACAGACATCAGCGCCTCTGGTTATATTCAGCTGCTTGACCTTTGGTTGCAGCTGTATTGCTGCTGCTGCTGCTGCCTGCTGCTGCTCCGCTCTCGGTGCGCTCCTGCTGCAGCTCTATGGGCAGCTGTACATACACTGGCCGCTTGCTGCTGCCATTCGAGGCGCCGTGGCCTTTGCTGCTCTGACTTGGTGTTGGGACGCTATCTTCTTTCGCAAGTGAGTGTTTGCTGCTTTTGTTGTTGTTGTTGCTGTTGTTATTGGTGGGGTTGCTCGTGTTGCTACTGCTGCTGCTGCTGTTGGTGTTGTTATTATTGGTGGGGTTGCTAGTGTTGCTGCTGCTTATATGTGTGCTGCGCACGACTACTACTGCTGCTGCTGCTGCTGCTGCTGGCGTGCGTCGATACCACCAGTATCCCCTTCTGCTGCATCTGTTGTGTTTGTACCTTTTGCTGTCTTCTCTGGATATGCAGGCTGCGTCGGCGGTTTGCCTTCAGCAGCCAGCCAGTGATTTGCATGCATGCAGCAGCACAGGCGCCGCTGCTGCTGCTGCTGCTTCTCTGCTTTCTCCTGCATAGACTGCGTGAGTGCTCGCACCGNCACAGGCGCCGCTGCTGCTGCTGCTGCTTCTCTGCTTTCTCCTGCATAGACTGCGTGAGTGCTCGCACCGCGAAGGGATCTCCTTCGGCCTTTTGTTCACTGCAGCAGATGCAACGCTTTGCCTATTGAATTTAACTAAAGAGATAATTAATAAAGCAATGAATAAATAAATAAATAAATTAATTAATTAATTAATAATAAATAAATAAATAAATAAATAAATAAATTATTAATTCAAGGGATGCAATACGGGCTTGTATCCTCTCTTTCGGCGTCTGCTATTCAGAGCTCTTTGCCTGCTTCTACCTGCTGCTGCTGCTGCTGGGACTCGTCGGCCCACGGGTAGCTTTGCTGCTGTTCTGGTACATACGGAGCAGCAGCAGCAGCAAGAACAGCAGCGAGAACTGCAGCAACAGCAGCGGCAGCAGCAGCGGAACTCAAGATGACAAGACCAGAGCTACCAGCACGTCAGCAGGAAGAGGCTGCGCACTGCAGCTGGCAGCAGCAGTGGGGAGTTTCGTCCCTTCTATAATTTTGTTTCAGGTATGTATACACTGCTGTACCCCTCTGAGGTGTATCTGCACCTGGTTTGGTGCTGGTTTCTCATGCAGCTGCTGCAGCAAAGTGAAAGCAAAGCAGCAACAGCACCACGCCGATTGCTGTCGAGTGACGACAGTAACAGCTGGCCAGTGATACACCAGCTGATGGGGACAAGGTGTATATACACCTGAGGAGAGGAAGGACTGCATGCATGAATTCGCTAGCCTTTGATGGAGAATGAGTTTTCTGTGGGCCTTCTGTGCGTAGTTTATATCCAGTGTGTTTGTGTTGAGGATTCTAGGGTTTAGGGTTTAGGGTTTAGGGTTTTTCTGCACTGTTTCCTGTGTTTTGTCTTAGGCCCATCTGGGGCTCCTTGACGGCACTAGCGGCCCCGCTGGTCGTGCAGGGGAGGCGCTGCTGCACACGGACTTGCTGCTGAATTTCGCGGTGTTGCTGCCGGTGGTGTTGCTGCTGCCCGCTGTTCTCTGTCCCTCAATATTCTATTTGTTGCACTGCTCAAAGCGCCCCCCCCACCACGGCCTGAAGGCAGCCACGGCCCCTCGACCTGCAGAGGAGAGCCGCTGGCGCTATAGGGGGTTGTGGGTAGCTGCTGCTGCAGTGGCTATTGCTGTTGCTGTTGCTGTTGCTGCGCTGAACACTTCGCCAGTGCTTCTTCCTCCCCTCGTAGACGTGCCTTTGGAGCAGCAGCAGCGAGAGGCTGAGGGTCGCCAGTCTGCTGCAACACGAAGTGAAGAAGGCGGCACAGAAGGATCTGTCGTACCGTTGCTGCCCGCCTCAACAGAAGAAGAGCTTCGACAGCAGCAGACGCACTCCCAGTCGAAGGCACACCGTTCGCTCCTAGCTCTGCTGCCCTTCAGCCTTGGCCACTACATTTTGCCTTCTCAGGGCTTCCCCTTCTCCCCAGAGAGGCCGCTACAGCTGCACTTTGTTCTTTTTAGACGCGCAAAAATCACCGGCTTACCTTCCCCCTCCAGCAGCAGCGATAGCAGCGAAAGAAACGACACAGACAAAGGCCAAGACCAGGCATCGTTCGCAACTGATACAGAAGAAGCAGCAGCAGCAACAGCAGAAGCCGGAGCAGCAGCATCATCAAGTACCTCACGCTTTGCTCCTGAGTTGGAGCCTTTCTCGGTTACGCACTACACTCCTCCCCTCGTGCGCCACTCCACCCAAGGCGTTGCTGTGATGGGTTTGGGGCCGCAAGTGTTTTGGAATCCAGCGTTTGCTGACGCTCCTCATGTGCTCTCTACAGTGCGTAGCGCCATGGTGGCTGCTGAAGCAGCAGCTGCCTTCGACTCTCTGAATGAAACCCCAGAAACTTCTTCTTCTTGCAATTCAGCTGCTACAGGGGACTTGAAACATATCAACAACACGGGGACAAATTCACGTGATACAGCAGGTGAGGGTGCTGCCGCTGCAGCAATCGACAAGAACGCGGTTGCAGCTGAAAAAGATAATAACGGCAACAATTCGGGTGATAATAGAACGTCTCGATGCTCGGAAGCAAAACCACAACCCTCGTTTCTTCTCATGGAAGAATCCCCTTCACAGAAAGCCCCCTTGACACTCGCCCACCTCCATAGGTTGAGCACAACTCGCACGCATTGGAGTCTGTACACGGATTCACAGGTGAGCTCACTGCAGAAATGTTGGTTGCAAGGGGTATTAGGCATTTACCGCTGCGATCTTCTGTTTCCCTGTGTTGGAGTGTAAGAAAGAAATTCATAAAGATGGGAAAGCTACAATACTTTGTGTACTTTTGAATAGACAGCACATAATTAAAGCCAGGATTTGGTGTAGTCTCTCTGTGCCTTCAGGCGTTTCTCCCTCCACCCAAGCCCACGGGAGGTAGCCGCGTGTTTAGCCATGGGCTCCGAGGCGAATTGGACATACACTACGAGTGCGTTGCGTCTGTGCTTTTTTGGGGGCACTTCTTCAAGCGCTGGGAGCAGTCGAATCCTTTGCATCTTTGCTCTCTCTGTGTTATCTACCGTTTTGCGCGTCGCTCGCAGTGGCGTTTGTTCCGTTGTTACATTTTAAGCGAATAAATTGATAAAAGTGCAATGCAGTCTTCACTTGACTACGCGGGTGATGGGACTTATGACAAGTAGAGGAACCATAAGCTGGTACAGTACTAGGGAAACGGGAAGCCTTGCGGCGCTTTAGGTTAGCGATGTATGTGCTGTTTCCTCTTCTTCTGTTGCGTTTGCAGCGAGGCGAATGACGAAACGCGCCTGAGGCTGCTCATCGGAGGAGCTTCGCTGCTGGCTCTTGCGCTGCCGGCCGCCGGCCTTAAAAGGTGGAATTTGGAACGCCAGGCACCGCTGCGGCGGCTTCAGCAGTGCGATTGCTACATCATCACTCTAGCCAACCCATTGCCCCCCGTCATGACGAAACTTGAATTCTTCTTTCATGGGCACATACCGGTGAGCCTCGCTGACCTTAGCTCGGCACGCTTCCTGTGTGTATTCGGGGGAGCCAGACAACCGGAACTCCCCCACATCAAGCAAGCAGTTTAGTAGTCGATTTCTGCAAGAGGTACATATGTACTATTGTGATGAACTGAACTGTAGTGACTGAGTGCACTTTCTAGGCAGCCTCCATGACGGGCTTCAGCTCCGAGAAGCTCGTGTACGGGCCGTGCACCGCTGCAACGGCTCAAGCGATGTGTTACATGGTGTGAGTGTTCTCAGGTCCGTTTCACAACGCGTTCGGGTTTGTTCGACGTAACGGCACCAAACACAGCCTGCGCAGAAACGCCATTGTTCAGGGCTGTTCAGCACTTTCCCGCTCCTCCTCCTCGTGCCCAGGCGGAAGATGATCGGGTTTCGCACTTGAAAGCTGCGTCAGAAGGGGGTAAGGCCGACGGCGGTACCCTGTATCTTGACAAAGCGTCTGAGTCTGGGATCCCCGCTCAGAGTCCCCTCGATACTTTTTGGGAGAGGCTACTCAATGCGCTGCCGCCGCATATAGCTGCGGCCGGCAGTTATGCCGATGCAGCGGAGTGGGATTTGCCGCCTGCACCGTTTTCCGCGAAGTTTGCTTTCGACTGAAAGATGGAGCTGCTAGCCTTGTTTGGCTTTCTGCTTGCTTTTTGCTTAGCTGACACAAGCAGAAAGCCCAGCTGTTGGTTAGCTTACATGGCTAACTGACTNTGCTTGCTTTTTGCTTAGCTGACACAAGCAGAAAGCCCAGCTGTTGGTTAGCTTACATGGCTAACTGACTACGTATGCACAGCCAAGTATCGGGGTAGACAGCGCACTATGCAACAGTATCTAGACAAATCAAAGAGGCTATCCAGCACCAACAGCTCTGATGGTCTGATCGACATCACTAACTGCTGCCGGCGCGTACCGTAGTGCATAATGCAGCATGGTGGAGAACGCCTGGCATACTCGTAACAGGGACGCCGACATGAAGAACACAGACTGAACATGGTATGGGCATGCTTTTAAATCAAGTCAAAGAACAAGTTCACATGCATCTCAACGCAGTTTGCGTTTTTCCTTTATCGGCAATGAGCACAGCGGAGACAGGCTTTTTCCGGCAGCATTCATTCATAACAAGTGCCCCAGCCTGTTGCTCGTCAGTGAAATTTGCTTAGTGATGTCGCCAGGGTTGCCAGCGGTGGAAGGCTGTTAGCGCCAAAGGATGGCACGACTGCCAAACAACGACTGGAGGGAAACTCANTGCCAGCGGTGGAAGGCTGTTAGCGCCAAAGGATGGCACGACTGCCAAACAACGACTGGAGGGAAACTCAAAATGCATGTCGCATGACACGGACAATACGGTCCCCTCTTCAGTTCTCTTTCCAAGCTCAAAGGCTTTCAGTCTGTGCAATGTGCTCGTGCCGGGCCGTTTCTGACTCCGACAAATGCCACAGGGGCGTAAAAGGAAACGCAACATGCTCATGGACGTCGTGAAAACAATTGTCGACTTATACGAAACTTAACATGGGATTTGCATACTGCATGGCAGGCCCTGGAGGATGAGAAACGGCCGTAAACTGGTGGAATTTCGGCTCCATCTCGGAACCTTTCAGCCTGAACAACGCACCGCAGTTGCAAGACGCCGGAAGGACACCTAAACATGAGAACAAGGAAATAAAGGACGAAATCAAAACGCTAGCGAAGAGAAGCGCCACAGAGAGTGCTACTGGCATGAGTGGTTAGCTCGACTTGCATACCTGATAAAAGCCCCCTTATTGCCCATTTCGTCACAATAGTTCGGAGCACTAAATACAGTTATCTGAAAAGAACAAACACGCACAATGATGAGCCTGCTGTAGAACTGCAAAGCTGCAACACTATGCTTACCGCTGAACACCACTGCCACATCCTGTTAACCGCAACATTCTAAAGGGTTAAAGTCCCTTCATCGGCCTCATAAAACAAGCAAGTGGTGAGCGTGAGAATGCAGCGGTCGGCAGATAAGCAGAGCAAGCCGGTGCATGTTACCAGTTTGCCGCCGTGTTCAACTTCATAACCCTCCTCTTTCATTTCGTGTGAACGAATAACAAAGCTCAAGTTGTTGTCCTTGAGGAACTTGGCTGTAATGTCGGGGCCGAACTGACATGCAACGCCTCTCTTTGATGGGGTCAGTCCAGGAAGTGGAGAGGGGTCAGACCACAACAAATCCGTCATCAGCACTGCAAGCAATGCCCATTCATAAGAAGTAAAGCAGCGCCGCAGATCCATGAACAGCACGTGCAACATGCAGGCTGATCGCTCTGGTTGCCGAAAAGAAAAAAGCTGCAGTAATCGGCATACACAAGAGCCTTCAACATCACGAAACTTACCATCTGATCCTGGCTCCTTGTTGCGGTCAATCTTCCTAATGTCATCCAGGGTTACGTCCTTCTGACGAGATAGACCCCCATGAACTACGAATGCTTTGTTGTTCACCACAAATGCCAGCGGCAACAAGCGGAACGCCTAAAGCAGAGAAGAAAGGCGGCAACGGAAATTCTCTGTGGGACTTTTTTTCCGCCAGTATACTCATATACAGCAAATATGAAATGCAAACTTCAGCCAGACTGAAAGCTGTGATGTGTATTGGGCAAGAGGAGGAACTCACTTCAGTGAAAATTTGGTAAAGGCGTTCATCATACTTGTGCAGCATCTCCCCCTTGAACCCGTACATTGCATTCATCTCGCTGGTCTCGTGGTTTCCGCGAGTAATGTGCATGTGGTTCGGATACGCCAGTTTGCACGCAACCATCATCAGCAAGACCTGCAGGTGGTCAAAGCAACAGAACCAGAAATAAATGAGTTTAACCCATCATGCACAGTATTGCTGCAACGGATACTCTGCAACAACGCGACTACACCACCATGACCCCCAAATGTTGTTCAGGTAAGCGGGAGGTGCCCGTAGCGGCAATTTCTTCAGGGGCCCCTGTGGCCCCAGGGCCTCACCTCAACTGAGAAGCTGCCTCTGTCGACTATATCTCCATTGAAAAGATATGGNTGTGGCCCCAGGGCCTCACCTCAACTGAGAAGCTGCCTCTGTCGACTATATCTCCATTGAAAAGATATGGGTTATCTTCAGAGGGCATTCCGTTGATTTTGAATATGTTTACTAAATCATAAAACTGTCCGTGAACGTCTCCGCAAACTGTAATCTCCTTATCAGCAGGTATTTCTAGATTGACTAAGGAGGGCAGAGGTTCGAGTATTTCAATGAAGTCCACAGCCATTGCATACGCGTACTGCGGGTGCAAACGATTCTCTGGGTTATGCAGCCAAGAACGAAGCGATTCAAGGAATTTTACATCAACTTTCCCCTTTTCATAAACAGGTCCTGTGTAGTCTGATGGGACTGGAAACAGCTTCTCTAGACCCTCAGCCAGAACCTGCTTCGATGCAGGTATTGTTTGCTTGGTGCGAATTGCTGCTGCAAACGCCTGAGCTCGCAGCTGCTTCTTGCACTCGTTCAGACGAGAAAGAGCATCTGCATCCTTCCCGCCACGCAGCTGGCACACTCTCTCGAAGTCTGCGGAATCCAATCGCACATTCTGTCTCACCCCCCTACAAACGAAGAACTCGGAAAACTAAGGCAGCTCTCTGCAACCAATACAACTAAAACGTTCTTATTCTCTAGGATTAATACGTGCGGAGGTAGAGAATGCAACAAAGCGCTGAACATTTGTAGGAAAACCTGAGAGGGATACTCACCGCGCTGTGCAGCTTTCAGGTTTCCCAGGCAGAAATACCCAGTCCCACGACGGTAATACCCCTTTGAAAACTTTGGGTTGAGCTCCAGAGCACGTTCAGCATCGATGATAGCCGACCCTGTGACAAGAAACAGTTGCACAGCTCACTTACGCAATAAAAATTATAGCAATGAAAATACTCCTCCTATGTGCATGGGCTCTGGGAAGAGGAAACAACAACAGAAGGGCCAACCACCAAGCAGAACCTGCATTCTACACGGGATGCAAAATCAAAGGGGCGATGTCATACCAAAGTTTTCCATCCTTAGATGCGCGAAGGACCTGTTGCAGAGATAAACATGAAGCTGAGTTTCTTTGGGGTCCAGCGATGACTCATCGATCGCATCAACTGCAGCGGAGTATTTGGCAACAGCCTCCGCATATTGGTGTTGTTTAAAGAGTTCATTGCCCTCGGCCTTGAAGGCTTCTGCCCTCTCTACAGGGGAGCACTTGGCCGAGTCATTCTTCCCGTCGCGTTCTGCGACGTCGCCCACGTCTTTGGCGGCACAAGAGTTGCTTCCATCGACCGCCATCTCGCCGTCTCTCCTCTTGGCTCCCTCCTTGCCTACGGGCTCGGCTGAATTGCCACTGATGCCCGCGGAGTCACTGCCTTCCGCCATGAGGCACAGTGGCGTTGAAGCAACTGGTTTTCCCGGATCCCCTGTTACATGTACTTCTACACAGCCCACCAAAAGGCCAGCAGAAACAAATATATGAGAATTGGCGAACCGCAGACAACAATTGCTCGCAGCCTCTACATCCAAAGGCTCTGCTTCCTATGCAAAGTGAATTCTGGCGAGTGTCCCCTGGCCCACGTGGCTTATAAGTCTATGGTTTAAAGAAGAAAATATTACATGTAGATCAAGAAGCTGTGGTGCACGATTGCACACTTTCGAGAGGAGGAAAGCCAATGCATGCGCGCTGTAACTCTCTGAGCGGTAGAGCCGCCACAACGGGGGTTTGCTGCCTGAAGGGTGTCTGAGCCATAGACAGTAAGAGATACGAATTTAGATTATAGCATTGATTTGGCAACGTTGAATTGGCTTATATATCTGTACGGTTGACTACAGCCCTAATTCTACTCTATACACGCACAGATTTGTGTGCGGAGCAGCATGCGATCCGGCATTTCGGCTTTACGGCGATGGTTGCTCCAACAATTCCGCCGAATTACGCATTTCAAGTAATCGTAAGGGTAGAAAAGACTGTTTGAAAACATTCAGAAACACAAATCGTGCTTTCCATGACCCCCTTCCTACTCCTGATGATAACGTTTGAGGTACCCACAGGTGGGCAGAAAGGAGCCGGCTTATTATCTAGTGGGAATACTGCAGTATCATAGAATGCGTGCAACCTCAGTTCAGAATGCTTCATTTACGCTGCACAAGTATCGAACTTCCACAGGACAGGCGTTCTCAAGCGTGTCACGGGGTGTTGGGGCGTTGCATGGCACCGCTCATGTCGCATATATGGATATAGTACGGTCGATTTGTCGCAAAAAAAAAGCCAGTGTCCGGTTTTGACTTTATTTGTTGAACCTTTTGGGTCAGGGTAATGCCCAAGCACAGCCCCAAAATTGCTGCAGGATGAGCAACAGCCAACACGGAGAAGAGTCCTTATACCGTGCGGGTGCCTGACTACGTGGTACGTTGTATGAGTTCGAAAGTAACAAAGAATCCCACAGCAAAGGGTGCTAATAACGAAAGGTGGGAGTGTTGCTTGCCGAGGAAGAGTGGCCTAATACTGGGGGCGAATACTCATGAGTATAACGGTTGCTGTCTGACCTTAATCAAGGAGAGAACCGAGTTGCGAAGTAGGTCCATACGTAAAGTAAGAGTTTCTCAAAAGCAGCTGACCCCCCCGCCTGTCCTCAGGCGTACTGGGCGTTGAGCTCGGGCCTGGGTGTTGCGGGGAGGTGGCAGCCTGAAGCGGCGTTGCAGCGCACCTTGCTGAGACTGGTAACACAAGCCAGTAGTCATACGCGTGCACACAAGGAAGCTTCGCTGAAGCTTCCTTTACGGCATTCTTTACCTCTGAATACACCGACAGAATGTTTGTACTTGCCTACACGCAACCTACCACGGCCAAGTGAAGGCTCTTGTGGTAACGGCAGGCAGGCCATGCTGCCCGTCCGCTGGCGGAGAGCGCACGTCTTCGTGTGCACATCCCCATATAGAATGTGGTAGGTATGCGCCGTGTCTCCTGCTGCTCGTGCTGCCAGTCCCGTTGTGGGTACTGCTAGCCGTGCAGTACGGCCATCCATCGCGGCACCCGCTGCTGCTGCTGTACAAAGAAAAGGTTATCGTGCCCGGTTTGCTGCTGTATCTGCTTTGCTGCTGCTGGAGCGGTTGCTCCTCGTGCAATTGCTGCGCAGGAGGCTGCTGCTGCAGCTGCTGCTGCTCGCTGCCCTTTCGCCCAGATGCCTGATGCTGCTAGTAGGAATCAAAAGATAAAGGTAGAGAATAGGCCGAGAAGGCCCAATCAGCAGCCTGTCGGAGCATTCCCCCTCCTGCTTTTGCTGCGGCAGGCTCTGCCGGTCCTGCTGCGGCGGAAGCGGGTGCGGCAATCACCGCGCCACTTTCGCATCGTCTCCACAGCTGAAGGAGGATTAACTTAAAAGTAGAACATAGAGGAAAGTACAAAAGAACAGGACAGCCACAGTTGCTCCAGGGGTGCTGGGGGTCGGAGGCCTGGGGTAAGGCAGCGGAAGGGCAGGGCACTGAGGAGGCAAGGAAGAGCTCGGCGGGGACCACCGTAGTGCTGAACTGTCGGTTAATCGGGGTAGTTGAGCAGTAGTAATATAGAAAGGGAAAGGGAGCGGCGCTGGCAGGGCTATTGATACCGCCGCAGCGCGGTAGACGGTGCTCACGGTAGCAGCCCAGCTACGGCTGGGAAGGTGCAAAGCAGTGAACCGTCGGAGAAACGGAGGCGAGCTACGAACACGTAAGCATACTTACTAAGGCCCCTGTATAGGAGGGGTGCTGGAGTGTCCGTGATGCTCCCTCATGCACCCGCACACACAGATGCAAACATACACACCTGCACATGCACACACAGACAAGCATCCGGCTAGAGCCCCTGCGAGACGCTCAGCATGCTGCCAAACGTCTTCGTGAGCAGATTATTGTAGGGCAACAAATGAAATGGAGACGGATCCGTATCCCCAGGCAAACACCATCGAAGCGGAAATGGTAGGCGCCTGGGAAGCTCCGAGAACGGGTTCCCAGCCCCAAATGGGAATCCGTAGAGGGACTCGTGGCCATTGTGTGTGGCCCGTTGTAGGCTGAAGTGAGCAAACATCCGTTATAGATAAATAAATTGCCCCTAGAACGCCAAGAGCAAAATCATAGAAGCTTTACCACGCTTGCAGTACCTAGAAAGTTGCCCACAGAAGACCCGGAACCCATAACCATGTGGTGTCGGGCCCGCCGACACCGACCATGCCTGGTAGTGGGCCCAAAAGAGCCAGGAATTGTTCCGGGGGAATCGCTTCCCCTAACCGATTTTCCGAATCCCACTCAGGTACACTAGTGCTCGGCAACCTTCCGTAGTATTCGAGTTTCTTTTGGCCTGTGCGAATGGTAATCCGTGCCTTAAGAATCTCAGTATCCCGCATGCATGGCTCCTCACGATGACGCTGCTGCTGTTTCGCCACCAAAGTGCGAGGGGATCGCGGAGACTCCCCAAACAGTTTTGAGAAACCTTCGTTAATGCATGATGATATCTCCTTATTGAGGGTAAGTCAATGATGTAGGCCAACGCATTGACCAGAGAGCGGAGAGCAAACTGCCCAGCCCATCGTATGGCTAAGTGTTTGGATCGCTCGCCCTCCTGCGTGCTACGGCGAGAATGTGAATCCACTAGAACCAAGTCAACTGGCTTGAAAGCATCTGCTGAATGTCTTTTGTCCTGTTATCTGGCTTGGCCTTTCTGTGCCTTTCTCATGCATTGCCGCGCTACTGCGAGCTGTTTGCAAAACCGAGAGGCCACGGTCATTCGAGGCTGGCATCCAACAGCGAGATCCATCGCCGTTTCAGCTAGTGGAGCGTCCGTGTAGACCAGCAGGGGAGAAACGAGTTGACGAATGCACTGTAGTTGTAGTGAATACTCCCTACAATCACGGCAGCAATGTCGTGCTCGTTGTAGTGAGGGTTGTATGAATAGTGAAAGTGACTGTCAGTTCTTATTGATATACTTTGAATATAGCATTGGTGAAAACATTAAGCATTCTTTATGGAGTGACTAATTGTATGATTATAGGAGAGGGTGGCTTGTGCCTTGGTGCAAA